CTAAGGATAATGGACCTACTACAAATGCTCATACACATTTATACATCCCATCACTGCAATGTACTTCTGAATGTCTGTAGGTTTCTGTGTTGCCGAGCCGTACAATGTCAGAGCATGGAAGCGTTTCTTTGTTGACCTGAAGCTGCCATATTCAGTGGCGAAGAATGAACAGGTCGAGATTAAAGCCGTCATCCACAACTACGGCTACGACGAACTGCATGTAAGAAAATCAATCAAGTACTGACACTTCCTTTCTTTTCAGTTGGGGAATTGAGTAAATATAAAATGCATTTACTACAATAGGAGTTGCCTGATAGATAAAACAAAACAAAAATCTTTCTCTGCAGAAGTTAAAACAAGACAGGGGTCTGCAGCCATACTAGCACCTCTGAGTCTGTTCTCAGCATGCTAACATGCTCATGATATTACTAACATGCTAGTTTAGCAGTATAATGCAAGTATAATGATCACCATCTTAGTTTACCATGATTGCATGCTAACAGTTGCTAAATAGCACTAAACAGAATGATAGAATGATGCTAGATGAAAAGTTAAGGGATCACCAAAGTGATTACAATTCATTCCAAGGGGAACGTGAGTGTGTGTACCAAAATTTGGCAAAAATATGGCAATCCAAAAGTTGTAGAAACACAAATGTCAACATTATGGTGGCGCTAAAGGAAAAAACAGGGGATGACCTGTCAGTAGGATTTATCCTCTGGGCACCATGAATGTCTTCACAAGGTTTTTTTTCCATGTAAAAGTTGTGGAGATATTTTAGACTTGACCAAAATGATAAAAGACAGAACGACCAACGATGCCATTCTCAGAGCCATGCTGCTAGCATAGCTAAAGATAAAATGCAGCGTCTATTCTCTTTTCATTGAAATACAATAAAATGAAATTAAATGCATTTGGTATTATGCTGTGACTGGTTCCTGTTCAGGTGAGGGTGGTGTTGATGAAGACGGAGGGCATGTGCAGCATAGCCTTTAAAGACAGACACACACAGGAAGTGACGCTGTCGGCCGGCTCTTCTGTTGTGGTGCCTTACACCATCGTACCACTGGTGGTGGGGAAACTTCCTCTGGAGGTGATGGTGGTCGGCAGAGACATGATGGGAGGAGACCGCATCCAGAAACATTTACGGGTGGTGGTGAGTCAGTCTTGATGATGAAGACGTCATGGCAGGATAATCAGGGTAGGATGTTAATGGGAGCCAGTAAAGATGAAGTGTCTTTGTTTTACTGAAACAAAGTCAGCAGCTAAAACAGAAAACCTGATATTCTGGGTTCTAAAAATGTGTTTCTGTAATCGAATGTCACAATAATTTTATTTTTATGGTACTTCTATGTCAACATTTTCTTTTTAGACATTATGCCAGAAATACATAAAATGTTGAAAATAGAATATGTATAAGAAGGTAATTAAAAGATAACACAGAATTACTTGAATAAATATCTGCTTTTACAATAAGTTTTTTGTCAACCCAAACAGGTGGATGGAGTTCAGAAGACTGAAGTATGGAGTGCAGTGTTGAACCCAGCTGCTGAAGGAGGTAAGGTAGCAGTAATGCTTGATTTCCTATTATCTCTTGGTAAATTAGGTCACATTGTGTCACCAATATGGGATTTCATGTTTACGTCCTTTCGTCTGCCCAGAATGAGCTGATTCAGCAGTATGCATGGTGGAGTTGTTGTTTTTTTGTGATCACATTTTTACTTTTTACATTTTACTTTCACACATTTAAACAAGGATTAGGCAGTTAAAATGTTCTCACAGTCCTCCAGGACCTATTCTGATGTGAACTACAAATGTCAGACTTAAATTGGGAAGGGTTTTGGGTTTGTGCAAAGTGTTGATTGGCCCAAAAGCATTCCAGAGTCTAGTAACGTAAGCAAAAGTACAAGAAATGAACAACTTTGACACGTCTTTATCATGTTGTGGATGCTGTGTTGTGGTTTTTTTTTAATTTTTTTTTTTATGGAGATATGTATGTAGTTGACACAGGCAGAAACAGGTTGTTTTTTAAATTTTGGGCAACAAAACACAAACTAAACTAGACTTTTTGATTTACGTTCTTACTGACAAAACAGATTTACCACTCACTGTACTGTGTTGATTGGCTGGTGGGCCTTCAGCACTCCCTTTATTCTGATTAGCTAATGTGCTGCATCAATTATGTTTGTGCTGTGTAAAAATGTAGGTTCTACCTTATAGAAAGACAAGGCCACTTTACCATAGGCTACTTGGGACATCTTATCCAGGTAGTTTCATTAGCTCTCTATTAACTCTCTTTCATTAGTCTCTATTAACCTGATCATGTGGAGCCACTTGCTAACTGGAAAAACCCACTCAATGCAATTCTGCAGACTGATAAGAGATTCACCCCACTTGATATGGTCTAGTAAGGTAAAGGTATGGAGTACCTTTGTAGCCCATATATTATTATTTAGTAGCTGCTAACCATACCTTACCTGGTGTGAGTTTGAAATTCAGTGAAAATAATGTCTAGGTTATTTTTGATCCAGTTTGCCCTTGTGAGTTTTTTACAAGCTGTAATGTTCTTTCTGTGTGTTGCTGCCACAAAAAACAATAAATGCTTTTACGACAAGATAGACATCTGTAATGCTGAAACAAAGGTAATGCATATTTTTGAATGTTCCAGTTATGAGACAATTGCATTTTAATCACAGCTTTTCCATATTGGTGCACAGTTCAGTGTGATTACAGACACAGCAGGCTCTAAAAAATTAGACAGCAGTTTGGTGGTCACATCAGTAAAAACACTGTTTACTACTTTTCTGGACTTAATGGCTGTGTTTTCATCCTCTGCAGGAGTGCAGACGGTTCGTGTGGGCCAGATCGAACTAGAGTCAGTTGTGCCGAACTCAGTGCCAGAGACATTCATCAATGTCAGAGGTCAGTCACTGACAGAGCGGTTATAAGGATTAAAAATAAATCTAAGAGAATGGATTGATTCCTGATTCTTCCTCTCCACTCCAGGTAATGTGTTGGCAGACAGCATTGATAACTCCATCAGTGAGGACTCTTTGGCCTCTCTGATCCAGATGCCTGGCGGCTGCGTGGAGCAGAACCTGGCCAGCATTACTCTGCCGCTCATCGCCACCCTCTACCTGGACCGAACCAGCAGCTGGGACAGTGTAGGGGTGGAGCGCAAGGCTGAGGCTCTCCGGTACATCAGGAGAGGTTAGAGAGAAGGAATGAATGCATGGATAAATTAATGGATGAATGAAGGACATCCAAAAAGTAGGATGAATGATGAATATATAGCTGGAAACATGGGTGGATGGATAATTTGATACATAGGTGGATAGATGAATAGATAATTTGATACATGAATGGATGAATAATATGATACATTGATGTTGGATAGATGCACCAATGGCTCAATGGCTATTAGGAGGCACTGATAAATACATGAATCAGTGGATGATGGATACAGCAATGGATGAATGGCTAGTTGGAAGGATGGATGGATAGTTGGCTAGATTTGTAGATTGATGGACGAATGAATAGACAGGTTATAAATAGCTAGTTGGATACATGGATGGATGGGTGAATGGCTGATGGATGAACTGCAGCCTTGGTGGACAGATGGATGGATAGATTATTTTGGAACAAGCATTGTTTTCATTATGAACAAGTTAAGACGTCTCTCTCCCTTCCACCCCATCTATAAATTATTACATGTTCTGTGTTTTCAGGCTATGAGAACCAGCTAGCCTACAGAAAGAGTGATGGCTCGTACCCCCCCTACAGCAGAGAAGGCGCAAGTACATGGTACTGTCCTATGCTGTATATACTGTATGTACGGATGGGTGTCAAATGAAAGGAAAAACCAACATGAAGTGTCTTAGTGTGGAGTCAGAACAGCTTTAGCGCTCCTTACCTGGTCTGTGGAACAACCTTATTTAATCAGACGTCACTAAATAGATCATGATGAAAGTTGATGATATATAATTTGGTTTTATGGAGATGGTAGTGGAGAGCGCTGAGATCAGGTGACTGTAAAGAACGTAACATTTTATTTAATAATTTACATACTGACCAAACCATTTACATTTATCTGACGCTTTTATCCAAAGCGACTTACAATTGCTTTACATGTCAGAGGTCACACACCTCTGGGGCAACTAGGGGTTAAGTGTCTTGGTCAGGGACACAATGGTAGATGGGTCACAGTGGGGGACTGCATTTGATATGTTTCTCCTATCTTTTATTCAGGCTTTACCTTTTATTCATCCTGTCAATCTATATATATACTTTTTTTTTTTATTAAATCTCTAAAACCCAAGAAATACTAGTAAACAGATTATTTCAGTTTCAGTGGATTTGGGGATTTCAAGTTATGTGGATTTTCACACGACTTCTCTGTAAAACCTATTAATATATCTGATTTAATAAAAGATCATTTGAATACATGCCACATTCTGAAATAAAATCCTGCAGAAAAGTAATGAAAAGGTCAGTGACTCAGTCAGTGGTATAAGTTAAATAATGTGTGCTTTAAAGTGACCAAATGTTGGCTAATCACAGTCCACCTGAATGTCAGGATCACAGCATACGTGGTGAAAGTTTTCTCCATGGCTAACTCCATCGTTGGCGTCAACGAGCAGCAAGTGTGTGACCCTCTGCTCTACCTGGCGAAGAACAAACAGCGTTTTAGGGGGAACTTCGTAGAGGACAACCCAGTTTACAGCACTACCATGACTGTGAGAGACACAAACACTCAAACATGTTTTTTCCCCTCCTCTTCCACTCTCCTCATCCTTCTATCAGTTCACTTTCATTAATAAATATCAAAATAATATAAAAATCCTCCAATTAAATAAACAATAAAACACCCACTGTATGTACATACATATTGTATCAGCTGAGGACTCTGTGTTAATTGTATGCTAGTATTCTTTTTTCACTCTAAATCTTAAAACAGTAAAATAATAACACAGCGGTTCTTTTTTTGGTAATTTTTTTGATGGCGGTGGTGTCTTCTTTCTCTCGGGGTAATTGACATCATGAAACAAGTTCAGTTCAGTTTCAGTTTGCTAGCAGACATCTTTTGAGCAAACTTATATGTCCTCAATACAGGAAGAAATCAGTCCTAGAAGAGACAAGAGAGATGCTTTCCATTCTGGTCTGCTGAGGCGGTATTTTGAAGAAAATGTAAACAAAAGTTAAAATAAAATAGAACTGAAGAAGTCTCTCGGATGAGAGACGAAACGTCCCTGAGTATCTTCAACAAAGCCCAGTTCCCCCTGATTTAAAACCTTCCTTAAATAACTATGACCTGGATGACTGAGAACCATCACAGACATCTAACAGAAAAATTTGGTTTGTGTCTCCAGGGTGGTCTCCGTGGCGATGACCCTGAGACAACCCTGACGGCCTTCGTCCTCATAGCGCTCGCTGAAGCCAAGCAGGCAGGAATCAGCTGCAACGATTTAAACACGAACTTAGAGGTAATTCATGCAAACATATTATCTGCAGAGTTGGTTGTGTCAAGCTGGATTTAATCTTTAGTTAACTTTCGTTTGTTGCCTGTAAAACACTTTTTTACCTCGTTGTTATTGTGATCGGTGGTATTATCAGTAGTATTGTTTACCATATCTGTCTGCTGTAGTTAGTTATCAGTAATACAGCTGGATACCTGAGTAGAGCGCTGGTGAAGACGGGGAGGAGACCGTACACTGTGGCTATCGCCTCCTATGCGCTGGCTCTGCTGGGGAATACTGGACTCTACAACCTGAAACAAATTTTACTGAGTGCTGCAGCTCGAGGTATCCTGTGTACCCCACCCTGTTTCATTTGTACAGTACACAGAATCTTAACTGCAAAGACACTTGTCCCTTTAATAACTGCTTCATTCTATTTATTTTATTTATTTATTGCCAAAATATCAGACCTCTAACCAAAACTATTATCTTAAAACTGAAATATTTGCATTCCTACTATCTGTAATTGCACCTTTCTCTCTAGTCTAGCTCTTATTCAGAGTGAGCAGAGTAAATAAAACGGTAAAGGAAACATTTAACAAACATACAGCATGTAGCCATATAAATTATTTTATACTGAACATACCAAAATTATCCAAATTTTGTTGTTAGTCTTAAAAAAAAAGCTGCAGAGTTGTTTTGTTGGTTAAAGAGTGATAGTATGTTGCTCTTACACAGGCGCTCCCTCCCTCTCTCTCCTCCAGGTGGAAGCCACTGGCCTGACAGTCAGAACAGCTTGTTCACCTTGGAGGCGACCGGCTACGCCCTGCTGGCTCTTGTCAAGTTGGGACACCTGGAGGAAGCTGCACAGCCATTTAAATGGCTGAACAGCCAGAGGAGGAGAGGAGGCGGCTTCGGCTCCACTCAGGTACACGGCAGGGCAGGGCTGGTAGCTGAGCTGTAAATCCAACAGTTTCTTACTGCCTTTTCAAACTTCTCTTGCTCCAGGCTCTGATTAGTGGGTACTGCCTTATGTTGCCTTCACACTTGACTGTTCTGTTACATTATGGTAAATGCAGAAGTTAATTTATACTATTCAGATGAAGCCATGACACACTGTCTGTTATGGACAACAGTTATGTTGAAAATGGATTGAAGGGTATGAGCATGAACATTCATTCTCAATCTTTGGGAGCAGTTTCTACATACATATACTCTACATAATCTTAGTTTCCAGCTAATGCAGTCTAATATAGCAGTATTATTTTACAGGATGTAGTTTGTGATGCCGTTGAATTGTATTCCATACAGAGAGTTGTTTCTGATTTTTAGCCTAACCTCACTGATGTAAATGAGGTGGACAAAATAAAGAAAAGAAACACCCGTCAGTGTAGCACTTTTTGACCTTTCATCTGCATCTCGTAAGTTCAGCACTGATTTATTTTTTCATTTTAGTAGCTTACGTTTTGATTCACAGGAATCTGTGTTCGTAACGGGATTTGTGAGGTTTTTTAACAGCATCTCACAGTATCTCAAAGTTGAAGCCCCAATATAATAACCCAGTCAGGCTAAACGGTCACACAAAGCTGGTTATCAACTCGGTAAATCAACCTGGGTTTCCCAATCAAGCCATCAGCGCGTCCACATATAAGGGCTGATGTTGCCAGTTGCAAATATGGACAAGTCTGTTGGCAACAGAGCGTCATGTTTTTCAAACAAAAAGTATAATATTGGACAAATACAAAGAAATGAACACATAATCCAGGTTGAAAGCAACGCAGCAACCAAATGGAGGAGGCCGACTGTGAACGTGTAAGTTAACAGGCTTATAATATCACTGCCCGATCATTAAGGCACGAAGAGGTCTGAATATAATTCCATTTGTGTATTCCACACGCATCGTTTAGACAAATTCTGATGGTCTGTATGACCATTTTAGTCTTATTGTTTCAGCTGCAGCAGCTGTGTGTCAGCACTTCAACAGTAAAATTCGAAAAGCTGGGCATTGAATAAGTGGTCGTTACAGCTGACTTTCAAGAACTTCTCGTCACTTCACAAATCAGAATTAGTTATTTATTTAACACACTCAAAAATGTTCCAAATATTGTTTGAAATTAACTTCATAAAGCAACGAAACAAAAAACAAAAAAATCCATTCATGAGGGAAAAAAAAGTGCTCAAATAGTGGTGGAAAGACTATCTTAAAAACTCATATTACCTGCGCCCAAATAGATAAAGGCTGTGTGCTACATGACCCGAATAAAATACTGTATTACTGCAGTCTTTCTTATCAGTTCTGTTTTCCTTCTCTGTCCTCTCTCAGTCCACCATGGTGGTGCTCCAGGCGCTGTCAGAGTACCTGATTAACAAACCTCCTCCTGTTGACCTCAGTCTGGATGTGGATGTAAGGATAAAAGGACGCAAGGAAATCCGCTACCATTTCAACCCCAAGACTGCCTACGCTGCTCGTTCCTCCAAAGTGAGAGACTTGAAACTGAATGTAACATCCAGCCGAGTTAATCAGTAGGAGACACTGGGAGTGTGTCATAATGTTTCTCACATGATGTCACGAAAATCAGCACAGCTCAGTTTTATAGTTTTATCAGTGAGCTTAGACATTTGGGGATTTGAGAGCAATACTGGATGCAAGAGCAACATCAGGGAGTGTATTTGGCCAAAAATGTCTTCTTCTCTGGTGCTTTTCTGTAGTTGCCTGCTAATCTTGATTTGGAAGTGGAGGCTCGAGGAAATGGACAGGGCATACTGGAGGTACGATGACTTATTTTGTTTAACATAATTTTTCTTAAAAAAATGTACACATACATATACAGATATGGTACATAAATTAAATCAGATCACATGACCGGAGATTGGGATCATTCCGTTTCAGACATACAGCAGGATTTTGTTCCTAAGTGAGGCTTTTATGTGACCATAATGTTTTTTTTCCTCTCGTGTCTGTCTTTTGTTTTGCATGTTTTGTCCACTCGGACTCAAGGTTGTGACCTATTACAACCAGCTACATGATGTTGATGAGAAAATGCCCTGCAAGCACTTTGAGCTCAACGTCACTATTGAAGAATCCAGCGGTAACTCGAGTTCTCGTACATGATCCATGATGTCTTGCTCTTCAGTGTTTTATGTCCTTTTACTGTAGGTCATGTGAAGTCACATTTAGTGCCATAGAGGGATGAAATCCATTTCAGCAAATATCAAAATCTCCTAGATTGTTGTTTTTTTCTTGATATATTGTAAAAAAAACATGGAATGATAACAACATGGTAGCAGAACATAATGATAAATGTTTCTTAATGGAACTGCCAGGACATTTTTTAACATATCACATCTTCAATTAACTTCTAGAAATGATAAAAGTGTTATTAAGAGAAAAATAACATACAAACTGTAGCAGAACTAAATAAAATAATTATATACACTCCACAGCATAAGCACCCCAACCCACTTTACATAAAATAATGCTGTGTTTCTGCCTTAAAACAGAAAAAACTCCAGCAGATGTAGAAAAATCCTATCAGATGACCATCAAAGTGAGGTGAGTTATTGTTTTAAATGAAAGTTTAAACTTTTTTTTAACTTTTATTAAAGTTGATGAAAGGAAATAAAAGACTAAAAATGTTCTGAGGCACAAGTTGAGGATGACACACTTGATAGAATTACCTGTCTCTAACTGCAAAATTACTCAGGTTGATATATATGATGCCGCTCACACGCTCGAAAAATTTTATCAGTGTTCTCCTTCAGTTCTATAGATAATTAAGTGGGAGACTGGCTTTCTGTTGATATTCTCTCAGGTTTAGTATTTTTTGTCAGTGCTGGTCTCTTTCTAATCCCACAGGGCTTTAGGACCCAGAGATGTCAGGATGGTGGTTCTGGATATAAGTCTGCCCACTGGCTTCACCCCAGAAAACTCAGACCTAGAGATGGTAATCAGCCTCTACTATTAGTGCTAAAAAAATTTAATTTCCATTTATAGAAAATTATTTTAAAGGTTTAAAATCTCAAGAGAATGCTTAATAGTTTTACTGACAATGCTTTTGCTTTTATTTTGGAAAACACCTGAAGTAATAATTTAAAGTAGTTAAACATATGAAAGACCCAACCAGATTGAAATTAATATGGATTCTAAGAACAATTAACTTAATCTATATAAAAACCTTTTTTTCAAATGCTGGACAGAAAAAAAGAGAGAATCACTATAAAATGTTTTGGGATACTAGTCAGTGAAACCGGGGTCCTAATCAATCCCACTCAGATAGAAGTTTATAAAAGTTTAGTACATTGTGAAAATGATGTGTGATAGCTCAGATGAGACTGTTCACATGTTAGGGTTGTTAACTGATTCTGCATGTGTGTGTTTGTTTAGTTGTCAAACTCTGTGGACCGTTACATCAATAACTTCCAGATTGTTGATAACCTGAGTGACAGAGGCTCCCTGATCATCCATCTGTTCAAGGTAACACAGTCAGATTTGCTTGTTTGCAACCATGAGTTTGACTTGCTGCTTCATGTCATTGATTCTGTAAAGTTTAGAGTCGTCATTTCGTGAAAAACTGGTCTCTTTAAGCATGTTTTTGCATCTATATATTAGGGGTGGGAATCACCAGAGGCCCCACGATACGATATTATCACGATATTTGTGTTGCGATTCAATTGCGATTTTAAATATATTGCAATTTATTACGTTTTTCCAACTTCCAATTAGGTCCCTAAAGTCAAACTTTGTCAACATCTGTTTATCTAAAAAGATACATTTCTCTGTTTGTTCATATCACTTTTTCAGTCCTCTATATGGTCCTGTTAAGATTTCTAGTGGACTAAAAAAATCAATAGATTTTATTATTCTAGTACCAAAAAGTTCCTCCCATCTGCAATTTATATAATAAAATATCGATACTTGGCGTCCGTGCATCGATACAGTATTGCCATTGCAAATATCACGATATTATGCTGTATCGATTTTTTCCCCCCTCCCGACTATATATGTCTATATTAAAATAAGTGTTTTTACAATATATTGAAGAGATTCCAAGTTTTACTCCGCTGTTACACAGATAATTACATGAATCATCTTCTTGAAACAGGACCCCGTACTCTGGAGCTCAGGCTTACTAGATGAATATACTCACTGGCTGTGTAATGTTTCTGCTTCCCTTTTCTGTTGTAATAAATTATCCTCCCCCATCCTCTTCTCAGGTGTCTCACAAAGAGCCAGAGATCCTGGTGTTCAGGCTTCAGCAGAACTTTAAGGTCGGCCTCCTCCAGCCATCCACCGTTACTGTCTATGAGTATTACAGCCCAGGTATGAGAACACACCCTGACCATCACAGCTTTTTACTGCATTTTATGTTTACAAATAAAAATTTGATATTACTGGAAATGCTGCATAACACCTAATAGAACAGTGTCATTGTGGATCCGCCTTTAGTCCCACCTTCCTCCCTCTCAGCTGGTCAAGATTCACTGCAGACTACGTCATTATGAGACATAGGCCTACAAACAGTGAAAGCCCAGCCTGAGACAAACAAATTAGTTAGACATATATGATGTTGACAGGGGTTCCTTGCTCTCTCTCTGTCACAGATCACCGCTGCAGTCGTACCTACACTCCCAGGGAGGACACAGAGCAGCTCACACGGATCTGTAGGGACAACGTCTGCCGCTGCACGCAGGGTAAAGTGCGCATGTTGCGAAAACAGTGCACTGGTGGACATGTTTGTATTTATGTTGTCAGTCATTTTCAACCTCGTTACTTTCTGTGCGCTCACAATCTCCAGGAGACTGCTGTGTCTCCAAAACCGACGGTGAAAACTTCCCCAACAAAGAAAGAGAGACGTTTGCCTGCAAGTCTTTACACCACGGTACAGTACGGTGTCACACACTCACAGCTTTAACATGCTCACATGCACACAGCTGAACTGTGGTTAAGTTTAAAAGTTGGTCAGAAAGTCTCGAGTAATTGCCAGTCAAATCCTTAAAATGTATAGTAGGATTAATAATGATTATTACTTGCTGCGTTTATTATTAGGCTGACACTGACATACCCGTTCATTATACAGTGTATATATAGTATGTAAAATTCAATTACATAATTCATAAATTACATCATTAAGAACACGGCAAAGATAACACCTTTTTTCTTGTGCTTCAGTTTTCCAGGTGAAGGTGCTGAGTGTCAGCCAGAGTTACTACGACAAATATGAGATGGAGATCACACAAGTTATCAAGCTGGGTAAGTCATTGCTGTGTCTGTGTTTTATGGTCATCAGCTCTTTTTTGAAAGAAAGGATTGTGCGCTAATAAAAACCCCAGTAGTAGGATATGACAAGTAAGATGTAGGGATCACAATGAAGAATTTCCTAATAAATAGGATTATAACGTCCAAGTATGTTATCAAAATAATTTATTAGATGGACCCATATTCATACATGATTTGAGGCTCTGTTATCTAGTAATGTGCAGCCATGTATTATCTGAATCTTTCTCCTTCCATCTAGGTGTGGAGGATGGTATTGAAGTGGGCCAGAAGAGGATTTTCATGTCTCATGGAGGCTGCAGAGATGAACTCAACCTGAAGCAGGGCTCCCAGTACCTCATCATCGGCCCCAAAGACGACCAGTGGAACACTGACACCGACACAAACAGGTAAGGAGAGCAAGAAAAAAAAATCCTTAGTGGGAAAAAAAAGGGTAGGCACCTCTTGGAGGTCAAGTTTACATACTGCTGGGGGTTCTGACTTTACATGTGTTATGTCCAAGGTCTAGGGGCAAACCTGGACATAACATAAGGGTGTCTCCCCACTCTTCCCACTGCCACCAAGTAAGGCCAGTTCAACACAGGGAAAATAGTAGCAGTTTTATTTTGTGTTTTGATAGGTTACAAACAAAAAGGGGCTTCTGGCTAACTGCTAAAGAATGTTCAATATCTGTTCAAACTCTTAATTACAATAATCAAAGTATTTACATCAAACAAAGGTTTACACATTCTCAAATCACTAAGCTTCCACAACACAGATGGCCAATGGCTGGGAGTAGCAGAGTGAAGAGGAAGAGCTGGGATTAAAAGTGGCTGCTGTCATCCTGTTGACTAATTGTGACGCAGCAATCAACTCTGCTAGTCCAATCTAGGCGCCCACTAGGGGCGAGTTCAATCTCAAAACATTCTGCACTTGTTTGCAACGTTTTCGGATTGAATGACATGTTTCTTTTAAACGTCGTGCAACGGGCTTCGAGGTACGTTTTCTCCGTTTGTTGGATGTGTCAGAGTTGTTACTCAATCAGCTGCGTCAAGTTTGTAAACACAGAGGTGTTATAATGACAGTAAAAATCAGCACGCTTGCGTACACAAAATCTGCCAAGCACATAAGTTACCAAAGTAGAAAAAGTTAAATGCTTGCTGGTTGTTCACAAGAACTAGAAAGTATAACAGTATGTCACCTGATTAAAAGTCATGCCATGCTGAAAAGGTACATAAACACGGTCTTCTGATCTATTTAAATACAACACAAACTGTCTAAACTCCTCTCTTTCCTCCATTTTTCAGATTCATCTACATGTTAGGAAAGGACACCTGGGTGGAACGCTGGCCTTTGTCTGCAGAGTGCTCCAGCAATCCCAGCCTGCAAGCGAAATGCAAGAGCCTCCAAGATACTGCAGATGAACTATCTGTCAACGCCTGCAGGCTATAGAGGTGTCTGAGCAGCAACTGTGCACCAGTCTCCTCTGCCCAAAGATG